CACACACACACACACACACACACACACACACACACACACACACCACAAGAACTATAGGTAAGCAAAGCATACACGGATCATATTTCAAATGTGACTGATAATGAAGCAAGATAAGCTGTAAGTGAGAGAGAGCTTACCTTAACGATACATTTGAGTATACTGTGCGAGAAGATAAGAGAGGCTGATGACAGGCAGCGATGAAAATGGGAAGCTCTCTCCCCAGCTTTCTCCATTATCAGATAGGATCGATTTCTCCCACTGAGGATGAAAAAAACAGCTTGACAGCAGCTTCTTCAAAGCTCATATCTTGGTGCTCCTACTACCAGTTAATCACTCACAGGGCTCAGACCTTTAAACTCTCCCATAGAGGAGATGGAAATGGCTTTACTATTTTCTTACTATGGTCAGGGGCAGGTTTGTGTAAAGATCAAGAGTAGAATATTGCATTTATGAAACCTTTAGAAATAAATTGTGCAACCCCCTAATAACATGGATGAGTGCTTACCCTGTAAATAGGTGTAATGAAGCCAGTGGTTCTACTTACAGGATCAGGGGCTCCACAATCTGTCTTACTGCTTATTCAGTGCCTTTATTGTTGCATTCAGTATCAGTCAATGGGAAGATATGCTAAACTGGTTTCTGTACTTCATTGTTTTTTCCTCTATCCTCTTTTCTTTCTTCCACATTTCCTTTCTTGCAGCATTTCCCTGTGTCTGCTTTTCCCAGTGAGCTTTATTTCTACCCTCTTTTCCATTTCACTAGTTGTTGACATTAGTGTCTTTTCTCTTTTTTTCTTTTTTTAATTAACACCTCAATTAAGTTAGTGGTGGCCAGGGGAGTTCACACCCCTGAGTCTTAGGTTCAGACAGTCTGCAAACTCACATTGACAGCACTACATTAGTTGCACTGCTTACGTTGGGACGATTTTCTTTGCTACCAAGAAGGCTGGAAACATTTTTTTTTTAAATGAAAGTTTAGAGATGATGATGTAAAATCTGAATTTGCAATGCAAGCCTTATAAATCCATCAGATGTGCTGGATATTTGACACTCCTAGCCTACTGGAATCACCCACAGGACCAAAAGCAAAGTTGCAAGTCTCTTGCAACAAACAGATCTGCTGTTCCAGCAGGATAAAAAGAAACTCTGATTTTTAAAAAAAACCCTTCCTATCTCCAACCGTTTCACTCAACATGTGCATTGGCAAAACAGACTACCACTACGTTGAGGGGGCTTGATATGAGAGAGTTTCTGTGAGTCTAGTTTCCAGGCTGGATACTCTGACCACCAATTTATTCCTTCAAGCTGTCAGAAGTTCATCAAAAGCTACCCAAACCCCTGAAACCTAAGTGCAGGGCTGAACTTCATGTGCATTTCAAATTTTGACTAGTAAGCATAATACAGTATGCAAAATTGTGTAATGGTAATCATCCCTTTCTCCTGTTTCCCTTCCCTCCTCTTTTGCTTTGCTAAACAAACATAACTTTCTAAACATTAGATGTATTAATTTGACTACTGCAAATGGAAATAGATCTTGTTAACATTGAAAAATGGATGAAACTATACCTATAACCACAGCTGGGTGGTACATTGCTTTATTGGCCCCATGAGAATGGTTTTGAGAACATCAACAGATGTTCATAGCGTACTTTTAACACAGACCCTGGACTATATTTATACCCAAACCAACAAGATATACAGTGCAATATAACTTTTTTTTGCTGTTTACAGATATTCTATATTAAACTTTACCACATAAAGCAGTCTTAGACATTATTTCATTAAGTGGTGGCTACTACTTTTCCAGTCTACAACTGCACACTTTAATTGAACTAGTTCTTTTTCAGTAAACTCTTTGAAGCAATTACTTTGGTATCGTTTTGGATCACTCAGTAATAAATACTTTTAATTAATTATTGTCAAGCATTTTATAGCGTAAAATAACTGAAATAGGATAGAAGAGACATACTCAAATCTTTCCCTGGCTTAAAGAATTGTGTAGTGGACATAAATTGTATGAAATTCATTTTGATTTTGTAGGCCATTATTTTATTGGCTTTCCTTCCATATTTGACTTGGTATATTGTTTCCTATGAAATCATTATCTTCTCTCCACATTAAAGTGGGAGAAAATACAGAACCTTCATATCTGCTCTCTTGTTAAAATTAGTCTTTTAATATAATATGCAGTAATTGTTTAACCACTATTCAATTGCTCTAGACTATTAGTGGGTGCTCCTTTTTTTAATGGAGAAATCTTGCTTTTCTTTGCAGCATAAATATGGATGTTAACTTCATAGCATAACACTTTGTGCTGGAAGAGTTAATTGAATTGTAATCACACATTCTGGAACAAGCTAGAACAATTTAGGCAGGGTTTAAAGAGCAAAAAAACAGATCAGGACTCTGTGGAAGGCTTCATATAGCCCCTCTTAAGAATACTTCAAAGTATTAAATTTAGCCATTCTGAATCTAGTCATTCAGAAGTACCTATTTATAATTTCCATTTTTTATTATACAAAATACAATATGTATTGCCACAATAAAGCAAGCTGCCATGCCAGAAGTCTAATATGGCTCACATATATAAATAATGCATAAGACGACGTATTAAAGATAAACATGTTTTGGAATTTGGAAAAGTCGCAAGATTTTTTCAGGGTTTTTGTGAAAGATAGGAGAAATTTTTTCTGAGGAAATCTTCCAATTTTGTTGATGGAAAGAAACAGACCTAACTTATTATGCATGTCTTTTGAGCTGCCTAAAAATTCTTTACTAGAACCAAAGCTAGAGTGCAAATTTAGTGAATAGCTTTTAATAGTACCATCAGAATACACTTATTTCAGATGAAATTTTAGCTATTTTCAAAATCCAAGAAAGTTTACATTATTCTACAGCTTAACATACTCGGTCTTTTAATTTTTTTTATCAGAAAGTCACCAAAAGTTACATTTATATCTATTAACATATTTGGTAGCTATACAGAATTGAGACATGGGCTGCATTTTACATGGTAGAATCTATATTCCCTTTTATAGCTCATCATATTGATTGGTAAATATCGTTGGCACTATGGTACAGTTTTGCAGAGAGGATATTTAAGTCTGGAAAGGCTTACTTTAGTCATATTAGGAAAGGTTAAAGTTGTTTCCGGTGGGGAAAACCGTGTGCCTAAAGTGAGAAATATTAAAGGGAACACTCTAATACCAGCCTTTCTTGTATTTAACCTGCTCACCCAGATGTATATGTTCTATCTGTAACTCCAGGGGTTTTTCTTACAAATGAGGTAGTTGGGGCCAATAGAATAAACTTCTGAAATTATTTTTGTAGGCTGGTGCTAACGCCTATACTGTCTGAAAATGCTATACTATCTGAAAACTTCAAAGTAATCTTGGATGAATTTTTTTTTTGATTCCTAATGAATTTAAGGATATTTGGGAACAGGGAATATTCATGTCTTGTATCGCTATCTGCAATATTCTTGAATGAGAAGTTGCTCATTAACTAAAGCATGAATGTAACATAGGGTACCCCTGTCTGTTCCAGTTGCAGCACTAAAGTACTCATCAGCCCTGAGATTCTAAAGTTGTCCATAGGACTTGGACATCAGCGTGGGGTTGAGGGCTCTGGTTGAGGGTGCAGGCTATGGGGTGGGGCAGGGGATGAGGGGGTTTGGGTGCAGGAAGGGGCTCTGGGTTGGAACCGAGGGGGTTGGAGTGCAGGAGCGGGTGCGAGCTCTGGGGTGGGGCTGGGGATGAGGGGTTTAGGGTGTAGGAGGGGCTCTGGGCTGAGACAGGGGATTGGGGTGCGGGGGAGGGTGAGGACTCCAGTTGAGGGTGTGGGCTCTGCGGTGGGGCCGTGGATGAGGGGTTTGTGGTGTGGTAGAGAACTCTGGGCTGGGGCAGGGGGTTGGGGTGCAGGGTCCTGGTGGCGCTTACTGCAGCTTCTTTAAAGCACTTACTGCTTTACATTGAAAAACTTTCCTGATTATTTACTTGTCTACCTTATGTAAAAATTAGTGCTAATATATATTGACACATTTTCATTCCCTATATTATCTGCACACAACTAAACCAGTTCTGCCCCTACAAGCATGCCAATAATTTGGTTATTCCTGTGTCTTTGCAAGGCTCCTCTGCTCTCAGTCCCATCTCCCTCTTGACATACTGTATTCCGTGTGCCATCTTAATTCCTCCTCCTCCATCTAGGCCACATGTTCTCCAGTCCCCCACCACAACTGTCCTGCTCTCCTTTTAAAAGAAGCAAAGAGTCAGATGGTTTTGGGTCTGTCCTCTTCCTGGGGAAAATCTATCTTCTCCATTTGTACTGCTATGTTGTCCCCTTAATGCTTCATAAAGAAATAGTGGTGCTTATGCCTTTCTGCTCCCTGCCTTCCTGCAGAAGGAAGTTGCAGCTTCCTGGCCCTTCTCACCTACCAAAATTTCATTTTGCCTTGAACAAGTAGATGAGGTAGGTTTTTCAAGCCTTGAGTTAGTCTTTATATTTCCACAAAGCAAAAATTTGTTCAAGAAAATTTTCTTGTGTCTTCTTAAGGAATGTCACTGTCTGCAGGATCTTCTCCTCTTCACTCCCCTAAAATTACTCCTCACACATCTCCTGCTCCTAGAAGAAGAAGTCATACTCCAAACCCAGCAAATTATATGGTGCCTACTAGTGCCTCTACTCCTGTTACTAATGCTGTCTCCCAACCTCCATCTACTGGCCAGGTGATTCAGAAGGAAACTGTGGGTGGAACAACATATTTCTACACTGATACAACTCCAGCCCCTCTCACAGGAATGGTATGTTTGGTTTTGATACCCTCATAACCTTTTTGACCCTATCTTAGCTTTTTCATAAAATGAAGATGTTTGAGTGATGTTTAATCTTGCTACTAATTTGTATTCTATTGAAACTTGGCACAGAAGCTGTTACCTGGATACTTTCTCTTGCCAGATCTTAATTTTGAGTGGTATTACTCAAGTGATATGAGAGTGCTATGGGGCAGGTTTTTTTCCTTTGCTGTTTCTGACTGTTCTATTTCTGCACTTCTGTGCTGAATGTGTTAGGTTCCATCCCACGCCCCCCCCAAAAAGGCAGCCTATTGGGACTCATCAAAAATTGAAACTAGGAGTAGGTTACTGAGTTGAGTTATGCAGATGCTAAAATGCTGTGATGATGGGTGGCGGTGGTCACATAAGACCCTAAATAGTTGCATAATGTGGGTAATATTTAAATGGCAAACTGGAACTTACAATTTTGTGCAGAATTCTAGTAAAGGTTGACTAGAGAGGAAGCGTTCTGATGACAACTCAGAATTATGATACCTTATGTTTTACGGAGTCTGGTCTGTTGTATGTACACAAGACTTCTTGATGAAATTTCCATTAATTTAAAAGTTGTAACTAAGTATAGGAATTATAAGGAAAGATGGTAGGAAAAATCCATGGGTAATTAAAAGGGTACTGTCAACTCAAAAATCACATTGTCTGAATAGCTGACCTATTAGTGTTACAACTTACAAGTAACATCTAAGATTATTATAACTGAAAGAGAGATGAGAAAACTTCTGTATCTGTTTTGCTTGTTTCCATTTGTGTGGGGTTTTTCACACAACAGCAAGAAGAAAGCATTTTTTTAAAAATTGTTAAACTCCAAGAATAATCATCTTTCATTTGTGCAAGATAAAGAGAAACTTGCATTTACGGATGTGAAAGAAGGACAGTTAGTGTTAGATTTAAAAATCATCTGAAGTTGCATTGGTTGTGAATGTCACATTAGAAAAATGTAGAGACTGCAAGAAGTACATTCATAGCACATGTACCATTTTGAGGATTTTAAGTCAAGTCAGCAGGGTTAAAAAATGCTCAGAATAAAAGCATATCAAAATCAGATAAATGTTCCAAATTCTAAAGGAAATAAGTCTTAAATAATCTTTAATTTCCCCCCGCCTTTTAGGTATTTCCAAACTATCACATTTACCCTCCCACTGCACCTCATGTTGCTTATATGCAGCCAAAAGCAAATGCACCTTCCTTCTTCATGACAGATGAACTCAGACAGGTAAGCTGTCATAGTGTTGAAGTAGAAATGATTAAATATCTTCATATAGTCTTTAAGAAAGTTGAGCAACCACAAACAACAACAAAGGAAATAGGCACATTAAAACCACTGAGACAATTCTCTTCATTCCAGACTTAAAAATGTAATCACGTGACAGAAATAGAGGTACCATAAAAAAACAAAATTACAGTACTTGTAACTGTAATACCTTCTGCATGCCACATCTTTTTATCAAGAAAGGTTACTTGAAGAGAAATGTATTATTGTAAATCTTATGGAATTTCTGTACATGCTAAACATTTTGTGAGGCATTGGAGTTTTATTTTAAATTTGATTAGAATACAGCTAACTGAAATGGAAGTATAATCAGGAAAATGTTCATTTATGTGGATTTTTTTTATATACAGAGTATGTAGTTCTATTCCTTTGGTATATTTAAATGTATTATGAAGTTGGGTGTAAAGTTAACTGCCTCAGCATTTTCAGCATACCTGCTAGTTTTCTGGGGCAGAATACTGATCACCCCTGGAGTGGCTCCGACTTGTTACAGTGTTTCTTGGTATCATGCCTCTGCCTTTTTCATGCTCCTTTTACAGCTCCGTTCTTCCACACGACACTTCCTTTTTTAAAAAAAAAAAAAAAGTCTCCATTGTAACCTCCTTCCGATGAGAAGCAGTAGTCCTGAGGCAGCCTCCCTTTTGTGCAGGTTTTACCTGGGTGGAAAGTCCATAGATTCAACCCCTCATTTTTCCAAGCTGGTGATGCGAGTTCTCCTAAAAAGTCAACTAGCTATTCTAGTATTGAAACCTGGCCTTTCCTAGGTATTATGCTGTAAATTTAGCAAAGATGATCAACTAAATTATGTTCTGTACTGTAAGGCTACATAATTTGTTCCTCAGGAGCTGATCAACCGACATTTAATAACAATGGCTCAAATTGATCAAGCAGATATCCCTGGTAAGTAACTAGAAAGTCACAGTCATAATTGTCTGTGGTTATTCTAAGCAAGTTTTGTTTGCTCTCACAATTGCGTAGCACTACTAACTTTGTTACAAATAAATATATATTAACAGCATGTTTTAGCAAAACTGTTCCTGAATTTAGTTTTTTATGAAGTGTAAGACTTGGTCTGATTATACTAGAGCTGTTAATAACAGATGTCATTGTTTTAATACTTTGCCCCTTCAAAGCACTTTACAAACATGAGGTCTCTACTGTTCACTGTTTCTTCTGCATATTTTCTTTTCTTTATTTTAAAATTCTTTAGCTGACTTAATCTGGTTTTCTGTTTAACACCATTTATGTGTGCTTAAAAAGTAAGCAGTTCTTAACTTCACTGAGCAGATTTCACTTTTAGATCCTGTCCGCAATCCACATTGTAACTGATTTTTGTATCCAGTTAGTGGCATGGTTGGCTCTAAGCATGGTTTGCTTTCACGCATTCTATTGGGTGACTACAGCAGCTAAGGTCTACTTTTTCAAAAGTGAATATGTATGCAGATCATCAGGAGAAGGACTTTTAAACCCATCAACTTGACTATGTTTCTAGGCTTCAGCTTTGTGTACTGCGGGTATGTCTACACTTAAAATGCTACAGCAGCACAGCTGCAACACTTCAGTGTTGACACTACCTATGCTGACAGGAGGGGTTCTTGAGCAATCTTTTCCTTTGTATTAAAATACCCTGGGAGGCATTGGATGAAGGAATATTTAGGGTGCTACTTCACTACCAAGAAATAGGTGAACTGTTCTAGGAGCTTGTCTGTATAAAATCAGACCAAGGAAGTATTTTATTGAGGAAAAACAAGTAAAATTCTACAGGTTTAGTAATAAGCATTTATTGTGATACTTTAGAGGAACTTTTTGCATGGGATCACTTTTGAGAAATTCTTCCTAAACAAAGGCATTCAACCAACATCCATAATATTTGTCACTACTCAAAGGTATTTGCTTTTTAATAAGAACTTTCTCCCTAGCAACCCCTCCCCCAACTTCTGCTTGAGCCCAATGGTCCTCAGTGCTTGTGAAGTCCATCAACCTGTTTTCTTGTCCTTTTTCTCCCCCCTGCATATATACATACAGGATTGACTTCACTAAATGATTTAAACAGGGAAAGATGAGTTGAGGGAGTAAAACCTTGTTTAAACTCAGTGTCTTTACTAGTTAGGGCTTATCTACAGGGAGACTTAGTGCACAGCAAGCCAGGATGTAAATCTACAGCATAATAGCCTGCTCCACACTAACTGCATGTCTGGACCTTGCTACCACACTCTAAAGTTTCATAGTGCACTTTGACATACTGCCATTTGAAACAAGAGTATGTCAAAGCTCACTTCAGAACTTTTAGTGCACGATAGCAGGGTCCACATGGCCACTTAGTGCTCAGCAGGTTTGTATGCTCAGTATTCACACCCTGGCTTGCCACTCACTAAGTCTCCATGTCGACAAGCCTTGGTAAATGTGGGTTTATGTTTAGAAGACTTTGTTTTTCCAAGACTCTGTCTCAACTAGTAAGATATGTTGTGTTTTAAAATGCTAATTAACATGATTTTTGACAGATTTTGCACCTAGTGTAGATTGGGGAAGTTGTGCAGTTGCTCATCATGGTCAGTCTTTTGGAGAACTTATCATTGACCGCAATCAGCTAACATGTTTTTTATGCAGTTTGCCCTGTCTAGGTGCAAAGTTGGGACTAAAATACAAGTGTTAGCACATGAAATGACACATTGTAAAACAGCCTAGTTTCCTAGTCTCGGCTGTCCTCCTAGATGTCTTATAAGCTGTCCAGTTCCCCTCACTCTCCAAACAATATCGTGTATTCATTCTGAAAACTGACTGTCTGTCTTTGCTATTCTCTGCTGTTCTCATAACGGAAGTCAAGAGTTTACTGGGGGCTTCATATTCACAAGGCTTGTGTGGGTACTGGGGGTCATCCATGTCCCTTCATATCTTCATCCTCGGTAGCTGCAAGAAAAAGTAAATTTTCGAGGCAGACCAAAAGATGATCCCAATTTGTTGGGCACCTGCCAATGTACTGCTCCCCACTATTTATGGATGAATTGGTTTAATGTTAGACTGAAGCTGGTACTTCATGGCACACGGTGCTTTTACTTCTCTTGTTTACTTTTAGTATGGCAAGACTATTTTTCAGAAAGCACATATATCTGTTATCCAAAAATATCTCACAGGAAACCATATTTGTGCCAAAGATAGAATTATGAATTTTAACTTTTTTTGTTGCATGTATCTGAGACACAACACAAAGTATTGTTTGACATCTTAATAGTCAGATTTTCTTTACTACTGTAATATTGATTTTACAAATGCAATTAGTGTCTAATATATTTCTACAAACTGCTTTAGCAGTCCCTACAGAAGTTGACAGCTACCACAGCCTTTTCCCTTTAGAACCACTGCCACCACCCAATCGGATACAGAAAACAAGCAACTTTGGGTACATTACATCATGCTACAAAGCTGTAAATAGCAAAGATGATCTGCCATATTGCCTTCGGAGGATACATGGTGAGGGAAATCATAAGTTGTCATCTTTTTAAACTTCAATGCTACCTATACTTAAGCCTAAAACATTTGCTCTTCTATAATACTACGCATAAATCTTAAATTGGCTTTGAAATGAATCATTCTGTTGGAATAAGAAAGCAGAGTTTGGCCTAGATAACAGTCCATAGTGTTGGAAATGAGCAAGCAAAGTTTTATATTGGTGTGCCTCTGTTGGTGGCAGCTCAGTACTTTCAGAACAGATACCAAAGTTTTTTAAACAAATCTAATGGATCCTAAAATCACTGAATAAATGTAATTAAACTGTGTGGGTTTTATTCTCTTCTCAGGTTTCCGTCTTGTTAACACAAAGTGCATGGTATTGGTTGACATGTGGAAAAAAATTCAACACTCAAATATTGTAACTCTGCGTGAAGTGTTTACCACTAAAGCATTTGGAGAACATTGTAAGTTTCTGGGAATTGAACTGTTGAGGTAGTTTTGAGGGTATTAGGGCAGTGGTTCTCACCTTTCTGGGTTGAGGACCCATTTGTAACCCTTGATGGCCTGTCATGAGACAGAGATCCCCTGAGACTCCCCAAGATCCAATGACAATCCCCTTCCACTTGTGCGAGTGGGGACTCAGAGCTAAGATTCAAGATGCTCCACAATGGAATTGGGGGAGTGGCAGTGAGCTGACACCTCCAAAAGAAAAAAAGTGTCTCCCCCCCCAGCCTATGGTATCGGAGGATACGGGGTTGGAGGGGGATTTGGGGATTTGTAATGAAGAAGGAGTTGGGGGTTCAGGGGTGCTGGAAAAGGAATTGGAGGGGTGTGGGGTGCAATGTTGGACTGAGGGAGGATATGAGGACAGAAGGGCCTGGGGACACAGCCCCCACACATGGTCCATGGGGGGCAGAGGGTAAAAGGGTGGGGTGGGGATTTTTCATCCTCAGGCTAAAGTGGGAATCTGGGGGAAGGAGTTGGGGGCAGAAGGGGCTGGTGGTGCAGTGGGGGAAGCGCTGGGTAGCTGGTGGCCATGATGGGTGATGAGACAGAGGGGGATTTGCCTGGTTGTGGGAGGAGGGGTACATCGGGGGCCTGGGATGTGGGGCAGGATGGGATATGTAAGACGGGCAGTCACCTTCCTGTGGGGTGGGGGAGTACATCAAGGGGCCAGTAGTTACCAGAGAATGTGGCACCTACCACTCCCTCACAGCTACTGTCTTGCAGAGCTGCATGGGGCTCAGATTTCTGGGCATTAAGATTTCTGGAGCCACAGCACCGCTTAGGTTTGGCCTGTCTCCCCTGTTAGGGGCCAGCCGGGACAAATTTGTGTGAGTGGCGTTGTGACCTGGTGCATGGAATCACAGCCATCACACATTCAAATTTGGCCTTGCTGGCCTCCCATCGTCATGACGGAGGGGCAGCTGGGCCAAACTTGAGCAGCTCTGTGCCCCTGTGCACCAGATCACAATATTCGGAGTGGGGAGCTGAGTTCAGCCAGGCCCGTAACCTTTTGATGCATTCTGGCAACCCACTTTTGGGTCGTGAGCTATGGGCTGAGAAACCCTGTATTAGAGTTGTTAATTGTTGTCACTTACACATCTTTTTATTTTTAAGCTCTTGTGTTTGCATACGATTTTCATGCTGGAGGAGAGACTATGATGAGCAGACACTTTAATGACCCTAGTGCTGATGCCTATTTCACTAAAAGGAAATGGGGTAAGGAAAATGCATTCAACTGTCACTTTAGAAACTATTTCAGATATCTGAGGTCTAAAGTTAGTTGGGCAGAGAAATAGGTAAGTTCAGCTTTATCATTTTTTAGTTAGTCAGATATTAATTATATTGTAAGTACCACAGGACAAGGGTCTTTACTTCTCTTTTCCTAGTTTATTTGTAAAGTTCCTAGCATACTGTAAGTGTTATGTGAAAATAAATGTATGGGAAGTATTTTAAATAATAGACTGAACCAGTTGAGCAATGGGATTAGCTTGATTTTTGTCTTATTGTGAAAGTTGGGGTGCTTATTTAGTGCATGAAAGCTGGCAACTGTAAGCTACAACAACTTTTTGGCAGTATGGTCTACTAGATTGAACATGGGACTGGGAGTCAGGCTCTCCTGAGCTCTAATCCCAACTCTATCATTGGGTGGCACTTGGCAAATTACTTACCAGTGGGATTTTCAAAG